GTTTATGGAAGGCCATAAGGAATCGGGGGGGGGGGGGAAGTCATCCTTGCCTTGGCAGGCTGGATATTCCATAGGAGGGAGCCCTATACAGAATGTCCATTATAAGGCTCCTCCTGTTATGCCCATAGTAGTTAGGCACCCTTGTAGATATTTTTTCACCATTCATGTTGGGTTTGCAGAATTTATCTGGGAAAGATGGTTTCTTAGATACCTAGGCCCAAAACTATATTGGGATAAAGTTGGTGACCAGTACTTGGAATTGCACTCAGAAATACACTGTTAACCAGTGCAACTCTTGCAGAAAGGGTGCAACATGCAGTATCAAAACTGGGCATAAAGTATGGGACTGTTGCATTTTGGACCAGCTGAAGTTTCTGGATAGTCTTCAAATACAAGCTGATATAGAAGGAATTACAGAAATCTAGGTGAGTGATTGTTCTCAGGGCATCCTGTTCCAGATAAGACAACAAATTGTGCATCATCTGAAACTGGGCAAAGACCTCCTGGACATGGACTCACCTACCAGGAGCTGTGATTCCAAGAGGAACCCTCCCCCACAGATTTCAAGCGTGAGAATTAAAGATGGTAGTCATAGAATCCATTGGGTTCTGAATTAACAGCTGCTCCATCTTTCTTGGGCTGAATCTGAAACTGTGTTCATATGTCCAAATCATGACAGCCTCCAGCTACTAGGTCAGGACTATTGCAAAAATTATGTAGCTATGCAGTTCTGATCATAATCACTTTCCTCTTGCCCTATTTGGTTGCATAAATATACCTGAAGCCAATCAAAAACTTTGTTAACTTTTAATTGTACTGAATGGAAAGATTTCCTCTCTCAAGAAATGTGGATACAATCCCTTGTTTTAAAATGGCAAAACTTAAGACTTAGAATAAATCCTTTTTCTTTCTTTCTTTATTCATGTCACAGTGATTGACAGCAAACTATGCAGACTTTAACTGAAAAAGAGTTTCTATTTCTAACAAACTAAAACTGTCATTAATTTTTATTTGTTCAAGAAGTGCCAACACACATAATGATTTCAATCTCTGAAACTCTGCAAACACAATATTTCCTTGACAACCTATTCATTACTGTCTCCCATGGTATTATCATTGTTTAAGAAGTCCCTTTGTGCAAAAAAAAAGAAAAAGAAAAAAAACCCCAATAATATACCAACACATACAACTAGTGGAGAGATTTCTTGGTTTGTAAGATCAAGAATACCTTCAGTTGCTACTGAACTTACCACTAACAGCATTGTCCTGCTTGACTTTAAGACACCAACAATACCAAGAATAGACAGACAAAAGAAACAGAAACCAGTGAAGATCCCAATCCAGGCAGCACCGTAGATATCATCATTGTCTGTAGCTTCCAGCAATGGATATAGAGTGTGTTGATCTGACACGAAGAATATACATTCAGCCATGAGTGCAAGGCCACAACACTGAAACCAGGGAGACACAGGATGGTCATTCCAGAGCATTCTCAAGATTTTGCATTAGTTTCTAAGGCAAAAATCTGAGCCCAAACTGAATACCCTGTTTGAATCTCACACTTGCTTCTTTCATAAAAAGGGTACTCCAGATCAAAAAAATACTTATACAAATTTGTGACTGGAAGCATCACAGATATCTTGTATAGCTTCCATTCTTTGCTTCAGTTCTGGACTCCTTTGAATGGAAAGTAATGTTTCCTCAAGCCAGTGCTAATCTCTTTTTATCAGCCATTATGTTAGTCACAAGATACTTATCCCAATTATTTTTTCCCTACCACATATTTCTTTTTAGAAGGAATACTACTTTTGCATACTTATATTCAACAGAGATATTTACTTTTCTATTACTTAGTTTTACAAGAAAATGGAGAAGCTATTTTTCACTCACAATAGGAATTCTCTCTGCCATTACTCTTGTCTCGACAAATGAAAAACACATATGCATTTTTACATTTAAAAGTAATGCTGAATTAGGAAACACACACACACACACACTTCTAATCCTAAACTGTTCAACTTAAACTATAGAAACACATTTATCAATTGGGATAATAAAAATAAATAACTAAAAGTGTTTACTATATTCAAGTCATATGTGTGGCATATGGATTTTGTGGCCTAGCATGGCTGCTGTTCTGCTGGTGTGAGCCAGCATATGGAGTGAGGAAAAGGGGGAAAAAAAGCAGCTTTAGCCTTGAAGGGCAGCTGTTCTCTCATAAGGCCTGATGAGCTGACTTGGCTGCTAGCCAGGGCTGGTGTGGGGAGATTTTGAGTGGGCAGTCCCATTGGTGCAGCGAGGTATATAGGGGTTGAGGACTAGAGTCCTAGGGAGACACCCAATTCCTCAGTTGCTGTGGGAATGCTGCTGGTCTAACCAAAAATTGGAGAGAGAGAGAGAGAGAGAGAGAGAGAGAGAGAGAGAGGGAGAGAGAG